ACAAGGATTTTTTTACTAGAATTTAAGAATTTACTAGGATTCAACAAAGTATATACGTTATTTTTAAAATCTGTTTTATCAGTTTCCCAAACTATTTACTTTTTGTATTATGCCACTTTATTATTGAAGGTGCATTTAGATGTCATTAGGATTTTTTCCAAATGTTATTTTACGAAAATTCACGTTAAAAGACAGAATATAAAGAGTTTATTTATTGTTTACATTTTATTGTTTATAGTTTATATTTTACACACAATGCCAAATACAAAGTACCAAAGCAAATAATAGACACTGAAGAACCAATTTAACTTATATATTAAAAGATAATAAAAAAACATATGACACTGTTAATACAATAGTTTGTTAACTCAAAAATAGTGTTTTTCCAGAATCATTGAAAAACGAGTTACTCGCTTGTTGTGAAAGAGCTTTACTATTTATGCACGTGTTAAAGTGTACAAGAAATTACATTTCCTACTTGCCAAATATTTTTGAGTAAGGACTGGTTTGGCCAGAACATGCTCACATAAAGTTTGTCTCATTTTGAGTTAAGTGTCCGTTCATTGTTTCTTGCAATATCCGAACGGCGGTTCTAATGACGTGTAGAGAATCAAATTCAAATCTTTCAGCAACATTATCTTAAATTTCATATTTTTTGTATTACAACATTGTTGTAATAGCATTGCGATATGATAAATCGTCTAATACAGTGTGAAGAAAGGATCAAAACAGAAAATGAATATAATTGTAACTTTTATACCTCAAAAGTTAACGGAAATTACATCTATTTGCCAAGTTTTATAGAAATCGGTTACCGGAAAACGTCGGAAACCGAGAAAAAAATTAATCCCCTAGTTTGCCCTAATAATAATAATTAATTAAACTACCTACTTGGCCGAACGGTTACCATCCTGGACTGACACGCTATTGTGATTATCTATGTGTGTCCGCGATACAGGGTTTCCCTAGTACAAAAAAGTAATAATTTCGCACGTAAATTCCGAAAAACTGAGAGGTGCAAGCCCGGATTCGAATCCACGACCCTATGCTTGAGAGGCGATTGTTTAAATTAAGCTACCACGGCTAACGACGAACTAGTACAAAAATATCTGAAAATCACAGTTTTTTTTAATAACATCAAGTGACGGGATAAAGAAGTCGCGCGCCTGATGGTAAGCTACACGCCTGTCCAAGACAGTTGCAGTATCACTTAAAGCTTTAACTAGCAAAGATCTTAGAGGCACTGGCACTGCGCCTGTCACCCTGAGACATAAGCCGATAAGTTCCCTGTGCCTGTAATGTTCACTAGCACCCTAACCATCCAAATCCGGAACGTAGTAATGCTCACATTAGTGCTTGGCGGCAGAAATAGGTAAGGCAGAACCAAACCTGCAAGTTCATTAACTGCTAATAGGTTTTAAACCAAAAACACTGTCTAATAAAAGTCTGCCAATGAGCCTGATGGCAAGGATACGACCAGAACCTGTCTCAGGAATAGTTATTTCCATTAGTAATCGAAATACTACCCTAAGTATGACATAAGTTGACAAGTCCCATGTGCCTGTAATTTCACCAGCAACCTTATCCTTCAAAACCGGAACACAGTAACGCTGACATTTTTGCTTGGCAGCAGCCAACGAACTCTCTCACAAGGAGCTCCACTACTACTGAGTGAATCTCATTTCATCTAAAATCTTGTCTCAATTTTTATACACGAAATTCAGTAAAAAATAAAAGAGACTGTTTAAACATTAAAATAAGTCTGATTTTTTAACAATATTGAAGCAGACTGTATATGGATATCTCCAAAAGAGGGCCTACACGTATCTTCAATTATTAATGTAGTAATATGTCAATTAATATATATTGGTGTCCGAATTTCAACTGTCGGCCGTGATAAACAACTTCATTAAGGCGAGTCTTCGGACGAGAAGCGGTAAAAACTGTTCTGCTATATCAAATGGTTTAGCTATTTACTATTAAATAATAGTCTCACAAAAAATATACTGTACACCCATTGACTTACAAATAAATGGACGACGGGTCTAATACAAAAACCACGAAAAAAATGTCCCAAGTGAACCTATTTAAACGTAGTGACATGTAAAGGAATATGAAAAAGCTAAAACGTTGAATTTAAATTGTAATGTCATCGCAGTACTGTCTAATTTTGCTTGTTTCGCTGTCAGTCGAACAAACGAAGACTAAAGCGTGAATGACGCTCTGTATACGATTTTAACGCCCGATAAGTTCGGACACTTTTTAGCGCGGACCCGACGTCCATATAATTGTAAGTCAATGTGCACACCCAAAGATATTGTTCAAAGAATGTGCTAATATATTACATGATAGTATGTAATTCAACCGATCATATTAAATATTGGAAAAGGCTAAATTGTCGGGATTTGATACGATCGGATGAATTACATATCGTTTGTTTAAAGGTAAAAACACATAAGTGACATTTTCCACAAAATTTTTTTAATTTATGTAGCTATGGTAAACAGTTATATATGTATGTATGGTAACAGTTTTATCTGCAGAAAGTTGGTGAAATTCTTACAACATAATTTGGATTTTTTTTGCGGAAAATGTCACTTATGTAGTTTTACCTATAACCGCTCACGCGATACATGCAGCCATAGACGCATACCACACCTAGAGGTGCCGGTGATGATTTTATACCGATTTATCGGATATCGAAGTTATAACAGGTAAAAGAACTAATACTAATTGCTATTTCGGTAACTATTCGAGCAAACCATAAAGTTTTTAATGCCTGGGTCTGTCATTTAAAAAAATAAACAACTTCAAAAATACGTCACGACAATCGTGTGTGTTATTGTTTAGGCTGGTGATTTCTGTGTTTATTTATTGAAAACATACCGTAAGTAGCGTTTTTTAAGTTTGCCCTGAATATAAATGTTTATAAACTATACTTTAAGGAGTAATTTCATGGTAAACGTTAGAACCACTCAAACAGAATATTATCATATTTACCCAAGTAGACCAAAAATTTCATTAGTGCTTTTTAAGTGCAGGATTTGCGGTGTATTACTGCATTTTATTTGAGATGTTTTTGTTGTAGTACGGAGGGTATTTATTTAGCAATGCAGAATAATAATTTTTATTTATAAAAACTTGTATTTAAACTGAATCCTTTTCTAATTTGCGAAACCAAATAGCTGCCATTTTGCGGTAGGATGAGCGCATCGCGTGAGCGGTTAAGCAGACGATATATAAATAAAATATCTGCACATAATTTTTATATTACTTAAAGAGAAATACCTCCATATTTTTATTTATCTGTATCTGTAATAACAGAGCAACTGATAAATGTTGGTTTTCAAATGAAGCCCTGAAGTTATTAAATTCACTTTATCCCAAAATGTGAAAACTGCCCAGCGGCTTAACGACGCGCCGCGTCGCCTGCTGCCCCGTCCGTCGCCATCGGTCGCCGTCGCTTGTCGACGTCGGACCTGTGTCAAATTTTCTCCGCCTGTTCTTATTTTATTCATATCAGTCCCCCCCACCTCACAACGCGTTGAAATATCTCGCCTTAAACAAGAAAATTTTACTTGAAATATTCGCAGTCGATGGAATATTAAGTAAAAACCACTTTTATGTGCTCTAAAAATGTTTATTAAAATAAATATGACCTCAGCTGAAGTTTCTTGGGTCACGGAACAAATTTTAAGACTTGATCGTATAAAGATACATATCACAAATCAATCTTTATACGTAGTAATTATTAATACAACGATCGAACACTCAGAAAAAATCCTTAGATCCGGCTGGATTCGATCCAACATCTTCCAGCAAACCGTGCCAGATGCTATACCCATTAATCTACAGAACGAACTAGCGGGCCTTACGAATTTTTCTGTGCTTGCGAAAAATAAAGACGCATGTCTTTATTTTTCGCTTTTAACGACTTTTTTGTCGTAAAACGCCATCTGTGAGAAATCTATGAAAGCTTTTCTTCACGCAGCCAGATACCTTTACAGGTATCAGCAGCAGACTAGAGATGTCGCTTTAATAAATGTAATTTTAAAATTTATTGAATGTCACGCCAGGATAAAGGTAAACTGTTTTGTTAGAACAAATTTCTTATCTGTAAAAATGCTTAGGAAATGAAACTATTTTTCCGGATTTAAATCGCGTATATTTGTTTTTTCAAACAAACCGACGTTTCGGGCCCTTTACAGGTCCCATGGTCACGGTTGACTGTTTTTTTGAAAAACGGTTTGTTTGAAAAAACAAATATACGCGATTTAAATCCGGAAAAATAGTTTCATTTCCTATGTGTAACAATCGCGAAAACCTAAGAACTCGATATGTAAAAATGCTATTATAAATTTCGAACATCGCGGAAAAACAATACAATTTAATTGGACCTCAATTCTAATATCAGTCGAGATGAAGTTTTATTCGAAATGAAATGTCAATAGCAAACAATTTTGACAATTTCACACGTTACTTGATATCGAACGATATGATAGTTGGGGCCGATTCTAGTCTATGAATTAAAAATAAAAACTACGGTTGTGTGACATGAGTGAGAAAAGTTTTTATTTGCCGCCATTTCGCCAGTCGTAACATGCGGTTCCTGTAGTGCGATTCACGTAAGTTCAAGATATCAAAATATCGTTGAAGTTACGTAGTCCTATCCAAAATGAGTTTTCACGTATCACTTGAACGAATGTTGATATGAGTTGAATCGAAACGTAACGACTATGAACGACATCTTGGATTGTGAAATTTGACATCTAGTGGTCGAAAGTCTATTGAAAGAACTGTCAAAATTTTAGCAGAATACGTATGACTTGTCGTTTAGAGTCGATTCTTATACCAGAATACGCTTTAACGACATTTGGATCGAACGACTTTAAAATGGGACTCGTTGACGTTCACTGTCAGACGTGAATACGAAAAAGCAGTTCAACGACTAAATCGCTACGATATCGTAATGGTTCGATTACGTGAATCACCCCCCAGAACACATCATAGAGAGCTTTAATGTGTGTGTAGATAAAGCAGTGTATGTAACTGTACATAAGTAGGCATCAAAACACTCGTGAGATGTTTTTATGAAACTCGCCTGTCTGCTCGTTTCATAAACCCATACTCGTATTTTAGTGCCTCTAATGTAACAATCACATAAACTACTAGTTACAAACTAGTGGGAGAAATTTCACAAAATAATTAAATATCATGGTGACAAACATCGTGCCATTCAATAAACTTGAAAATTACAGTCTTCATAAGATTAAGAAAATAATATTACTATAAATATTTCTGTAGAATAGTAACTTCTTTTGCAACTTCTAATGCAGATTACTAGAAGTTGCTTTTCATTAGTACAATTTACCAACCTTATATTACCTTCTTTATATTGATCAAAACGATTACCTCGTTAAAATATGTCCTGAGACTCAAGAAACATATATTTCTACTGGTGATATAAATAATTTTCTAATACATTCACTCAATCAACAACTACATCGTCACAACGCGCTCTTCAAATTGAGAGGTGGACCTTCACTAAATCAAACCTTAATGTTCTCTTTCTTATTTTTTTTCAAAAACAACAACTGTATCTGATCGGCAGAAAGGCCTTTAGTCTCAACGAGACAAAAGTGGCTGTAAATGGCTGTACTAATACAAATTATGGTGAAGAAGTAGAACAAAGGCCCAAGACCGAAGCTGTCGACCATCGGGTTAAAGATGATGAGAGTCACAAAGTTGCTAATCCACATGCAAGCCATTACCATACTGTTGCAGAGACCCCGGACCTGAAATCAGAGAAATAATCAGAATTTCGAGAAAACATACACCATTAACAATTTTAAATAATTATATACACCGACTAGTCCGGCAATCTTTGCGGGAGGGCGATGTTCAGCAGCGGACGTCTTCCGGCTGATATGATGATGATATACACCGAATTTTATAATTTCATAACTGCCTCTGTGGCCGAACGGCTATTGCTGGACTGCCACGCAGAGATCCTGGGTCCGTATCCCGGGCCGGGATAAATATTTGTATGGCCTATATTTATTTGTTGTGAGTTTGGATGTAATTTGTGGTTGTCTATTTATGCATCCATGGTACCCACGATACAGGGTTTTCCTAGTGCGGGGTTATGAATGTGTGCGTTATTATTATTATCTACTACTTTATTCTTCACAGCTTGGTAGCTGATTTGAACCACATTATTATTATTATTCTTACTCATTAAACAACATTTGCAAACAGTCATATTTATAACTCTGCTACTGGTACTTACTACAAAGATACATTTAAAAAAAATGAGATAGAAACACAAGCTGATACTATATATTTCGAATCATCTACTGAAAAACATTCATTAATTGCTAAGCACACACAACCCACCCATGAGCTTTATGCTACGTTCAGGTCTTCGATCCCACTACTACCTAAACGACCTTTGAGGCTAATTCTACATTGCAACTTCTAACATGTGATTTCCACTTAGACCATTGCTGCTGATCTACAATTAGTGAGCTTTGAGAGTTATGTCATTAACCCATTACCAATTCTTTGGACTATATCTCACGACTCTTGTACAAATGGAAGTCCATTCCATTAATCTGTGTAAAGTTCTTTCTTTCCTGACTTACCTCAGGCAAAAACATTTCAGCACTCATAATATAAGGCACCGTGGCAGCGCCGAGATTATACACGAAGCAGTAAGCATAAATGAGGAATGCGGTGTACCAATAAGGTCCATAGCCTAGGTGCAATTGTGATGCGAGCAAGAGAGTACAAATTCCCGTTGCTATCGCTGATGTTGTCATTAAGAACTGCAAAGAAGGTATCTTTGAATATTTTTTATCTAAGCGGTTATAGCATTATGAGCATGAAAGTAGTTTAGTCCAGAGCCTATAACTTTGTGTCACAAATTTCAAATAAGAAAAATTGAGCAGCAATTCATTGAATTGTTTTAATAGGAACTTTTTTTCATAGTATTCTATAAAAAAATTTTCAAAATCATTCCTTACTCTCCTCCCAAACTTGTCGACTACAGAAGCACAAATAAAACTAGCCACCATTAAATCGACGGCTAGCAATATTGCACAAGTATTTGGATGCATCGACGGTACAGCTTCCTTGAACATAGGCTCAGCGTATACTTGCAGTACAATACCCCCCATCATAATATTTGCTGTCATGATGATTAGGGCCATCATTAGAGCTCGTTTGGAAGATTCGGAGTTTTCTGTACGAAACAAAGAAGTAGCAAATAAACAGATAATAATTTATAGTTATTAAACAAGAAGCTCATTACATATCCGATCATTTATTGGTGCCGATAAACATTATGTAAGAATCTACGTTTATACAAAAAAAACGAAGACTTGATGACAGAATCTGTAATAGACTTAAAAATCTAAATCAAGCACTTTTTTTTCCTGGTGTGTGGGATTATATCAAAGTTATAACAGTACTTCCTTAACCCACAGTTATTGGTCTTAAAATGTTAAAGGCCAGAGTATCAATTTTGTGTTGATCATTAGAGTAGAAAATGATGAACAAATCTCCTTAAAATATCAAAATTCTTACTAAGTAACTTACTCAGGAATTGCCATTGTGACACGCTCTTGACTTCTTCGACGGGTTGAAGTTTTTTGTCAAGCAATTCCTTTTCGTGTGGTTCTGAAAGAATGAGTATCATTGCAATAAATTTGTATCAAAAGTAGTAGTAATAATAGGTTCTACGAAAAACCACGCGAACTTTTCACATTGAAAAGACAAGATGTAGTACTGTCCACAGGTGATCAAACCTTGTATTACAATTTTTTTTTTGTTTTTAAATAAAAGTAATATTATCTTCTAGAAACATCCGGAAAGTTTTTGACTGTAGGTAGCGTTTATTATGTTACTGAAAATGACAACAGCTTTTACTATAAGTCAAAAATCAAAATATTGTACCGACTAAAAAAATATTTTCATCCATTACAGTGATATCTAGGACATGCAAATGGTAAACCTAGAGGGATACAACACTGTGAGTGCCGATCCAGTACAAACCATGACTCTAGAATAGCTTCGTAAAAAGCATTGATTTCATAAGAACGTCAGTTCAAAGCATCCTTTTAGGTCTTTTAATTGTACAATCGCATCGCGTTTCATCAATCGCATCTCGTTTCATGTATTTTAACGTTTTTCTTTTTACTGCATCGTATTTTTTTCATTATTTACTTTTTCTTTTTAAATACGTTTTGCTTTCACTTTTCCATTGCTATTTTATATAAGAATCTGGTGAAAATCAAGTTTGTTGAAATGATGCACTATCTGGATCACATTTTTAATGAAAAAACACACTGAAACAAAGATTATCATCTAATTCAGAGGTGGGAAGTATGGCCACCTGCTCAGATTGTATTGTACAAAACCTGGTTAGTTGTAATCTATGCCATGTAACTATTAAGTAATTATTATTATTACATTATGGTAAAAAGTGACAATAATCTTAAAAATTTCAGACATCCTTATCTGATAGTTCATTTGAATAAAGATACAGCATAAATATATTAAGTATTGAAAAAATACTTAATATGTTTGATTTTTACTATCAGACCCAATTAAACTCCATCCTTACAATGTCGGTACTATCAATTGCAACACTCACATTTTCCATCACTCCTAGAAACAACATCCAAGATCTAAAATTAAGTGTACTTTGATATGGTTACTGCAAACAAAACAAATCTATATTTATTTTTGCTTATGCTATGTTCATGTTTTATTTGCATTTGTAGATATTAATATTTGCTACGATTGTATCAAGATCATTAACGTGATGATTTTGATAACGGAAAGGATTTTTGTTTTATATATTTAGCAAGATAATTGTAAGGTTGCAGTGAAATTACAAAATCTCAAGATTTTATGATATCAATATCATGATGTGATCTTATTGCAGTATTTCCAACCGATTCAAATGTAATGGCTAGATGGACTATTTGTGTTTAACTTGAGTTGTGGCGCTAGTGTACATCCAATGTTGCAGATAGAAAACTACAGCAAATGACAACCATTTGATGTTTTTGATGCGGTAGCCTTTAGCTGTATGACAGATAAGTAAGTCGAACCAAATAGGTAAAATAATGAATTACAATGGAAATTTTAAGAAAAGAATTTTAAAGCTAATTTTGAAATCAGTTAATTTTGGACCCTATCAGGTTTATTTAAATTTGAAATGTGCTTGTTAACAAAATCAATGTACGTTCATTAAACCTGTTCAATTACCCTTTTCACGCCATTAAGTAATAGTTTACCTTCAGTTTCTCCATGCAAGATCTCATCAATTCTTGGATCCAATTGTAGTTTTATTTTCTTTATTTCGACCTCTACTTCTTTAGAGGTCACATCAACTCTTCTGTAAAATGCTATTGACCTCTTTGCATCCTGGAAACAATGCCCTGTGTTTTATCGTACACTGGAATGCTAGTATTATTGGAATTACTTAGTTAGAATACATACATTAAAGCGTTTATTAGTGAAAATGTTGGAAGTTTAATTATCACATACGTATATATCGTCATGCCCGTCATATCACTGCCGTAGTCAGTGATTATGAACGTTCAGCCGCTAAACATATCTCTCTCGCTCCCTCCAATGTCATAAATATTTCACACACGCCCTTTAGTTCTTAGTGTTTATAACCTGGCTATTTTAAAGACATATTCAATACGGTGAAAGTATATTATACGCTGGAGTTGATCTTTCTCTATATTTCCTTCTACTAACATCTATACTTTCTACATGAATATTGTGTGAATTTCTGTCAAATCATTTATTTATTACTATTAAACTGTTAATTATTCTGTATTTAAAAGTTTCACCTCAACACTTACCACCTCAAATTAACTACTACCCAATTTAACTTGTTCTAACTTCTCGTCGTTAACGTAATTTCTTTCAAGCGCTTTGCACATAACAGTTACCATCTCCTGAATCTGTTTTGAGGGTAGTTACAATTTATTCACAAACAACTTATGAGCAGTTTGAACAACCACGAAGACGTCAAAGAAGAACATTCATTGTAAATTCCATTTACTTTTTTCCATTCATTTTACTTAATAGAATCAGAGTAAAGAATTTGAATTAGACTGCTGTTTACGCCATACATGGACAGTAATATTTATAGCTTATTCCTGACTAATCTATCAGAAGCCTTTTCCAAGTCTATAAAGGTACAGCAGACTTTATGATTTTCAGTATTTTTTTTCGGTTATGCATTTTATAGACTTCAGATTCATGCATTCTCTTATGATTTGATTTACACAGAGGTTTAAACGTTTGACATTTCTCTTTCTTATTTCATATTATCAACTGCCTCTGTGGCTGAAGATTTACCATGCCACGCACAGGTCTCGGGTTCGATTCCCGGACAAGAGAAATATTTTTATGGCTTACATTTATTTCCCTCGTGAGCTTAGTTGTAGTTTGTGGTTATCTGTCTGTTGTGGGCGTCCATGGCAACCGCGATATAGGGTTTCCCTAGTGCGGGGGCTATTGTAAGCGTTATTATTATTATTTGAATAAGTACATACGTGTCTGTAACTTCAGTACTCTTGTGTAACCAACGTCAAGCACGCAAGTACTGTCTAATCTCTCAGGTAATACAATCTTGAACACTTTACCTCTTCTCTCCCTTTTTGTACCAAATACACCGGTGACTCCTTCAGTAATCCCAATACAGCAATATATAGACAGGATCCCGTTAAATGCACGTATATAACTTGCTGATACGTCAAGTATCCGCCTGTTATGTAAATAATTGTACTCTGTTATCATTTCCTTTGTTTTCTTATGCGAAAATAAATGTAAATTCACTCAAATGTATATGCTAATGATGACAATGAATTGCTAAATCATGGCTTTAGGAAATGAAATTATTTTCGGTATCTCAGTGGAGTATATTTATTTTTTCAAGCCGGACATGACCATGGGGCATATAAACAACCCGAATTAGTTGTGCTAGAAGAATTACTTGTATCAATTTAAAAACATTTGGAGAGTTCAAATTTAGTGAGCCTTCCCTTGCATAAATAAAAATGACTAGAACTTAAAATCACATTACTTATGTACGTGTATTTACTTCGAATACTGAATTATACATACCTATTGCATAAGAGAACAATAACCCAGCAAAGAATATCGTTACACAAGACGATGTTAACATTCCTCTTATGGAGTCTTGTACAATTTCTGCAATATAGACTGAAGTAACAGCTTGGCCAGCAGCTCCAAAACCTGATATTCCCATTGCAAGAATGATTAATGGAGTGTAGTTTGTTAAAGATATTATCGTCCAGCCAATCTAAAATTAAGAAAAAGAAAGAAAAAAAGAAATGACGACTCACGAACAAATCGTGAGCCTGGTAGTAAGCGTCACGTCAGTCCATCGCAGTTGCAGTGCCACTCAAAGATTTAAACAGCAAAGACCTGAGGGGCACTGCCACTGTATCCGTCACCCTGAGATATAAGTAAACAAGACCCATGTGCTTGTGCTTTTAGCAGCGCCAACAATATGTCTATCTGATATGTATATCCTTATCTGAGATTGGAGCAAAATCTATTAAAAGCTTAAAATTATAAAGCGCCTTGAGAAAACTTCATAGCAATCTTTTGGGATTGTAGATATTGAGATCGTGGAAAAATTATAAAAGCGTTAAATATACACAGCTTGGTTGATTCAGTATTTGGTATTATCAACGCTTAAAAATATTATAATATAATAATAAAATTAAAACAATTTAATTTTGTTGAAAATAGGCTGCTCATTAATCTTAAAATGTCTATCTGATATAAACTAAAAAGTCAAGGATTTAGGATAGACCTTAGATTACACCGCGTATCTTTGCCTTATTTAATTAAACTCATACATATTGTGTATGCAAGTAGTATGTGCAAAGAAGTGTAATTGTTGCCTATTACAATTATAGGCTCTGCAATGATCGTCGAGTATTTACTTATATACTTTTACCTCATCCGTTTGTAGTAGATTTAGTAGATTCATTTTTAAGGTCTCTCTTCATCGTTACTATATTTCATGATACTAACAAACAAAATGACGTTGTCCATAGAAATTGTTGAACAACAACTGAGAACTAATCACACGGTTAACTGTCCATTGCTTTTGCAAAGCATATTAAAATATCAAGGCATCAGTTTGGACCCTTGACGAACTCCATATTAATTATGTTCACATAAAGTTACTTACAATCATAGGCAATCCAAAGAGCATAGCTGAATATCGTCTTCCAAATATATTAAGAGCATATCCACACGTAGGAGTCAATAATAAAGCACCAATGTTAGTTAAACTTCCGAGTAGCGATTTTTCGAAAGTTGTCAGAGGCCAGGACAAAACGGTGCTATTAGATTCGAAGTTCTCGATATTGTATGATGGCCAGGCGTATACGAACCCAATGAGAGCTATGAGGCCTGATACTGAAAAGCATTTTTAAATATACAGTAAAACACAAAAACACGGCGAAGAGGCTTACATGTTCGATATTTAGAACTATGCCCTTAAATCGTCACCTAGAAGAACACCATTTTAAGTAACATAAAATAGTTAATAATAAAGCTAAAGGGTTTTTTAACAAGGGCGTGTAGATTTTGATAGTTCATAGCGATCATGTTGTTGAGGCGGCTTTTGTCAAATCTGTTATTTATTTTTCAATCACTAAAGACAAATCATCATGGTAAGCTACAGCGCAGCGTTGAGCAACACTTGCAAATGATAAAAATAATATTATCATGGGTGTTCTATTGACAAGTAACAAAGTGCTCATTTTACGATTTATGTGGTCATCCTTCCTAGTTGACTATTCAATGTTTGGTGACCAAATTCGAGTCGACTTGTTCAGTAAATCATCATCCAACACTCGTACGTCATTGAAACGCAAAATCTGCCGAAAACTTCGCGCTATTCGTGAAAGTATTCAGGAAAACCCGAGGGAGTCTGTCTATTGCGCGCGCATCGTTGCTACAATAGAACACCCATTATGATAATATTTTTTTATCATTTGCGCGTGTTGCTCGAACTTGTAAACTTGAACTTGTAACTTGCCATGATGGTTTGTTTTTAGTGACTGAAAAATAAACTACAGATTTAATAAAAGCAGCCTCAACAACATGATTGCTATGAACTGTAACAATCTACTCGCCCCTGATGGAAAACCCTTTATTAAGGTGTATAATATAATTATACACCTTAGCATATTAGCCTATTTATCAGCCAAAAATGTGGAAGTCACCAATGACAGCCTAGTCGGGAGAACAATTGTCTTTTTTACGGATTCATTCTCACCGGAAAAGCCTGCACTAGCAGTCTACCGAAACAGTCAACATTCATGATGAAGAAAGGTCTTAAAGCGATTTAAATGCTCATGAAATCGCCAACCCGTATTGAGCCATTGTCAATGTAGAGCAACAATAACACATGCACTTTTGTGTATTAAAATCGATTTGATTAACTATTTAAAACGACAAAAGACAAAACTATTTCTTTTATTGGTGGTAGAGTTCTACTAGGCACCACTACCTTACCTATTTCTATCTAATATATTAATAAATTATGACAGCTAGGAAAGGCTAGATAGAACCTATGGTGTTACAGGTGATTTAAGATTTTATGTCCTACATCTTAATGTTTAATATTGCATTGTCCACAAGTGAAGCAAACCGTTTTGTGTCAAGTGGACCATCTGACTTCCTAATTTACTCTCCTCAGACTTCCTGTGAAACATAAATATTAATCTAGGTACACATACTTGCCAAAGTACATAATATTTGCATGAAAAACGCAGCGACGGTAACCTTTTCAGCCATATTTAATTTTTATAGAACAAACTTCACACTACTATGACACCACCTTTTGCAAAACACTAAATACAAACTGAGAAATTGTTATAAGTGTAATTCATAATAATGTCTTTAGATTCTATTTAAATTTTATTAGTCGGATCAAGCGTCAGGAGATAAGGCAAAAGCGTCTATTGTCGGAGACACAGGTGTCTTTATAAATGAGTATATTTATCACTGGAAGAAGTCTCACGTGACTATATAACATAATATATAAAACAACTTGAAACAAATTATTTTTTGTACTATCTAATCATCCATCTATTTATTTTTCTAATAACGTGCTTTTAACCAGCTAACACGCCTAATGTAAAATTTTATTTATTAATTGCAACATAGAGATGGATCGTAACAACAGTGGTGGTATATTTACTACTACATCGCTGTTGCTGCAAATTACTTACTACATTTTAAATTTTTATTGAATTGATATTCAATTATTTTTTGTGAAATTTACTAGAATTAGAAACTTTGACGACTAAAAAGTCATTGAAAAACTAAATACAAAGACACGACGTTCCGTGGCTTAGTTGGTACAGCGTCTGGCACGGTATGCAAGAAGACGTCGGTTCGAATCCGACCGGATCGAAGGAATTTTGTCTGAGTGTTCGATCTTTGTATTAATGATTACTTACTACAATTCTATTTTATTGACTCCGTCAGCCTTGTGAAATGTAACGTAGAAGAACGGACAAAACACCTTAATTTGCTACACTGGCCTTACCTCATAAGTATTTTTAGTTTAGAAGTAAATATAATATAGAACGATAGAATTGAATCCAACATTTATTTCAAGTCTTGTTTAAACTGCGTTCTTTAAGCGGCGTTATGCATTAAATGTTTTTCTCATTATTCATTATTTTAATTTTTATATCCTTCTCTTTTCGTTTCCTTCTTTTAATAAAAAAAGTATATATAATTATCACACTTTTTCCCCGATCCATTAAAATATTTTATCGTAACTGACCCGCCAAACATACTTGATTCGTCATACGTCTCGTAACTTTCCAAATTTTGAACTTCAGAAGCCATGCACTTATATCTTCGAATTGTATTCAAACCACATAGTATACATTACTTATTTTAAGTTTCAACAACCTTCCTGATGGACATAACATGTTTGCGTTTAACCGTAATAAACAAGCCGAAGATATTTTACTCTGCACACGTTTCAATCGATTAGAATGCACCTTATAATGGGGGCTCTACACAACAGAATAATACCCAAGAATGCTAGGAGAGAGAGAGAGAGCGTTAAACAATATCATCCAGCTAACAGCATTTTTAAAGCCGTCCGCCTTATGAGCGACGAAATCCTAATCGCACTCTCCAAGTCTCGCACGTTGGTCACTTTATTATCGCGGCAAATACCGCAGATAGATAGTTATATGATAACTGAGGCCGGTTGAAAAACACAGAGACCCGGATAAGGACAAATCAGATCGACATCGCCAAGATGACAGCAGAAAGTGGAACTGAGCAGGTCATAATATGCCTCGGGCAAGACCACAGGTAGGATATAAGGGTAGTTGAGTGAAAATACAGAGAAAGGTAGCCAAACGATAGGGAAAAATTTAATGAGGCAGGCATTAAAAGAAACTTACAATCATCATTGGGTAGACAGCGGTTGACAAAAAAGGTAGGGAGAACAAGGATGTAACCGTAACACAACAACATGCGTTGTTCGTCAACAATCGTGGTTCATCTAAAGATCCCAAGTCACATGTGACCAGCCCTTCGATTTGGACTAGCACGATAGAAATAAATAAGTCAGAAATACCAACCCACATAGGCTGTGCACGAGAAACCCAGCCATCAGTAAAACAAATATGTCAATCGATTTTACTCATAAATTTTTAAGTAGCCGTTGATGACTAAACAACGGTCTCTGTGTCAAATTTCACGAAAAGTAGGCTTTTGTGTTCATATCTGTATTAACGTACCTTTGTTAACGTATTCGTTTTACATACACACTAGATTAATGTTTATTACGTCTCATTCCGAAACGGTTAGAAGGATTTGGATGAAATTTGAGATATAGATAGTTTAAACATTACACAACCTGTATGGAGTACTTTTATAACAAGAACGCGAACTTTTATAAAGAAAAGTCGCGGGTATTGTATGATTAGGAAAATCTGAATTCACCTTGAGCCACTATTACACCCTCACCATAATGTCGTGACGACAGATAGTCGTGCAACTTGAACTGTCGTGGCTTGTATTTTTAAATGAAGTTGGTCACAACACGATTAACTGTCGATTACGACTTTTTTGACTTTACGACGACAGACTGACGCGACAATGGGAAAAGCTAGAACGAGTCGTCTGACGATAAATAAAACGTCACGGCAAAAATGTGACGACGGATAATCGCAGCTTTAAACGATTCTGTAGTAGTGCATACGACAAAGCGGCTGCCGTAAACCTATAAATTGTCATCACTATCTATTGGGAACAGCTAGACACGACAGTCGTTCAACGATAAAATAAAACGTTAGGACTGAAATGTTGATTATCGAATTGGCCGTACCGGAAAAACAAACGAAGGTAGAATTGTTATAATTAAATCAAAATATTACCATCTGTGTGGGAAGACGATTTGCTTGATACTCTTTGGTCGCCCTAGAAAAAAGTAACATCAATAACGAGCAGAGCACATGATTAATATTTTTTAGTACAGCCTACTAATACCTACTCTAGCAACAGAGCTCCTTGAGAAAGAGTTCCTCCAGAATAGTACTGCCACCTTACCTATTTCTGCCGCCAAGCAGTAATATCAGCATTATTGTGTCCCGGTTTTGAAGAGTAAGGGTGCTGATGAAATTACAGACATGGGACTTGTAAACTTTATGTCTCAGGGTGACGGGCGTAGTGGCAGTGCCCTTCAGATCTTTGCGATTTAAAGCTCGTGAGTAGCACTGCAACTGTTATGGACAGGCCATCAGGCGCACGACTTGTTTATCCAATCACTTGAATTATAAAAATACTATGTTTATAAAAACAAAATCGGCTTGGTGGATACAGATAAAACTTGGTAGACAAATAATTTACATCCAAAAAATTTCTTCGACACTAAAATAGATGACAGAAGCTCAGTATTTAAAACAAGTAGACATAGTGAAACTATATTCAATTCAACTGAACTTTAAACAGCAGCTACGTGCTGATTTTAAATTTTGGCAATCATATATAAAATTGGTTGTGTCGAAATAGTGCTCATGACAATGTAATCTAGTTATACATCTGCTATGTTCAATGACACGTGTATTTCTGTAACGACGCTGTTTTTCAGTGGATACTGAAAAACAGCGCCGTTCAGTGAAAGGGCAATTAGCTGAGTGGACGATCAATTCTGTAATAGCACAGCGCACACGCGGTCAGTTTTGTTTATTGTTATTCTTTACATAATTATCTATTTAAGTTTTTTTTATTGTGTGTGTACTGTGACTTTTATACGAAATAAATTTCTATTCTATATCATATCATACCATCATATTCAAATATATACTTGCTTTGTTATTAACCTATATACTTAATTCTACATAAGTTTCATGCAGCTTGATTTTGATTGCTTCTCCCGATCGGAAACTGCTTTTTCGAGTCGAGACGCATAATATTGCGAATGAGCTACCCGATCGGATCGATTCCCATTTGAATTAAAATCAGGGCCCTGATGTTCTTATTGAAACAACGCCTGCCATTGTATTCATCGTAAGCTGAAGTGACTGAACAGTGGTTCTTAGTGCAAAATGAAGCAATAAAAGGGTCAGGCGGTTAATTTTTAACTAAATTGACTGTTCTACTAACTTATAGTTTCCTCTAAAATCAGTTGCAGCCCGTGTTAACAATAAATTTAAATCTCATTACAAACATAAATAGATAAAGAGTATTAGTTAAGACAGAGATTAAACCATAAAGATACAAGTGAACTTATGATAGGAAAATTTACACGGTAGTCAACTCAATGTTTCGCTTTTGTTAGGAAAACTTGAATTTTATAGAGATAGGAAAAAATATACTTCCTGGTCACATCTAACTGTCGAAATTCCCACTTTAAATCTTAACACGTGGAAAGATTTTGAAAACAAAACGCTAACAGTGCAGGTCAAGTCATCAACGTTTGATCTGATGGAAAGTGAGGAAGAGGTCGATCATGAAGCATGTACACCTAAACATTGCCTATTCACTCTCGCTTTGAAAAGGTCCAAGTTATAGCGTTCGGGGAGTAAGTCCGCAGACAGGGAATTCTACGCCTTAACCACTTGCCATACAAATGTGGAAACGATACGCTTCGTGCGAATCCACAACATAAGGGTGGAACCCAAAGACCACGTCCAGTCTCCCGATGATGGAAAGGGGAAGGCGGAATCAAATCGTGCAATTCCATCGGATACTCTCCGTGATGTCTATTTTGTATAGGTAATTGGGTCATGTGAATAGAAATGTCTTTGGATAGAATTATTGCCTAGAAATTTCGCTGACGTTAGAGGATGAACCTGTACAGCTTTGTAATTCAAATTGTTTGCTCCCAGCCGATTTCCGCCAAGATGTCCATTTCAGTTCTTTCAGTGGACTCGCATGTGGTTTATGTTGCTATACGATAATACTCGTGCACTGTGGACATGTGAGCGCACCATTTTCAAAATTATAACTGATTACCGCAAATATAATCATGGTTACAGTTTTATTATACCTAAGGACGTTTTATTAATATATTGTAACAAAATTGTTTACTCATGATTGGTCATGCTGTGTAAACATATAAACTGTTTTGTACATTGTTTTTAACACATAATAGACACACGGTTGGCCACAATCTCACCTGATGTTAAGCGACGATTTGACCGACGATGGGACGCGTTTATCTAAAAAAATGCGTATCCACTCTAGCCTTGAATAGCCCCAATTTGTACTTTTCGGGAAATACAGATAGAGCATTCCATTCCTTTGCCGTACGCATCAGA